AGTAATACAAAAAAAAAAAATTATATACTCACTTACCTTGCGATTATTTTCCTTTTTACATAGTTCAGATCGGACTTAATTTGGCTAAGATCTGCATCATTTTATTTCTCAAAAAAATTCCGGTTTTTTTTGTCCCACACTGTATATAATATAATAATTTTAAATTTTATTAATTTAATATATGTAATTAATATAAAAAATTTTAAATTTAATAAAATAAGTATTTAAAGTATTTTTTGATTTTTAATATTTATATTAAATAAATACATATTGTAGATGATCAAATTATGTGATTAATTAACAAATATCAGCTCTAATAAAAATTTTTTTCTTATTAATCTAGTATTTTAAATAAAATTATACATTATAATGAATCACAACTATTCTAAAATTTTAATATATTTAATTTATATTTAATTAAATATTTTGGAATTTATTCAAAAATTTGATAGTTTTTAATATAAACTTTTAATTATAATTAAGCTTCAAATTTTTAGATCTTAAAATATAATGTGAATTAAGTAAACTTATTCATAATATTAAAGAAAATTTGTCTTTTAAATTTTAGATCAATTAAACTTATGCTTAGTATAAACTTATAAATGTATATTTATTTTATTAAAAATTTTTCTTTATTAATTTTATATAGAAATCAGAATTGTAACTGAAATTTTTATAAAAAGCTAACTGATATTTGAAAATTTTATTACTTTTAAAATATAAATTTTATAGTAAATTATTATAATTATTATTGAAAAATAATTATTTAAAATTTTTGTATAAAATTTATGTAAAATATAAATTATAAATTTTTTTTAATTAAAAATAATATATTATATAAATTAGACATGTTTGAAAATTCACAAGTATTCATTTTTTAATATAATAATATATTTATTTAAATAAATTAGTATATTATAATTAAAAAATTTAAGGTTAAATTATAACTGAAAATTTATATTAAAATACAAATATTTTAGCTTATCTAATTCAATATAAGTCAGATTTATATGAAACTTTTAGAGTAAGTATAATTTATTATAATATATAACTTTACTTAATATATTAGAGTTTAATTAATTAATAAAAAAAAAATATTTTATTAGAGTAGACTTTTACTAACCATCATATAATTTCTAAAGTATTGAATACTTTTGATTACCTACTATATATACAGTATATTGTAATAATATTAAAAATAAAAAAATATTTTTTTTATTATTAGTTAAATAAATTAAAATTAAAATATTAATTACAAATCCTAAATTATATTAATCTAATTTTAATATAATGATCTAAATATAATCAATTATAATAATTAAATATATATTTTAATTATAACTAATTTCTTTTTTCATATAATAAATAAAATTTTCTTGTTTTGTATGTTATAATTAAAAATAAACTTTTTTTTTTAAAAAGAATTAATATAAATAATAAAATAATTAACATACTTATATAATTTACTCTATCATTAGTTAGCTAGGTTTCATTAAAAAAAACTTTATAATTACTAATTTGTCAAATTTAATAAATGTTAAAAAGAATCAAAAAAGCTTTTAAAACAAAGTTACAAATTAAAGTATATAAGTAATTTTCATGATAAATTGGATATGATTAAAGATAGATATTGCAATTAAAAAAAATAGTGTAATTGAGTTGCAATTTGTGATGCAATTAAATTTTTTTATATTACAATTAAGTTGTAACTCAAAATAATTATGGTAATCATCTTTAAATATAATAATATTAATAAATATTATTATTTATTATAAGTTAAAAGAAATGATAATACTATAATATTATAAAAAAATAACAAAAAAAATACTACTAAAAAAATGCTTCTCATAAAACATATAAATTACATTATATAAAAAATTCAAAATACAGAAAATCAGCAATAGTATGAGTAAAAAAGAGATCTTTAAATTGCATACCTTTTAAAAGATCAAGAAACCTGATGAAAAAATTGACAAAAAAGATAATTGATAAGAAGTGATAATTATACTATAAACATTCAGATAATGAGATTAATAAATATTTATATAATAAGTTTGAAGATTATAACTGACATAATAAATTCTCAGATGCTCTTAAAATTTGGAAGTAGATATCAAAAAAGAAAAATTTAACAGTAAGGTTTAAATATACCCAAACAATATTCATCTTTATTTTAACTTATAAATAAAACTATTCAAAAATAAAAGTAAACGAAATGATTACTAATGTAGCAGAAAAGAAATATACTATGTTAAATGCATTTGTTTTTAGACATATGAATATATAATGATACATAAAATTCCTTACTTCTGCTGAGAATATCATACAAATACATGAAGCTTATTATATATTAGAGAAATCCTAATCAATTACTTACACAAATTATTTTTCAAATAATCTTAAGAAATATGCATAGCATGTTATCTATTAAAATAACTAAATTTATAACCAAAAATGCTAAAAATCTTTTTAATTTACAATAATAAAATATGAAAATGTATATTAAAATTTTATTTAGAAAAGCTATCAAGTTATAAATCACATATTGAAAGATGAATGAAAGCTATTATGAATGTAATATTTCTAAAACGCAAAGATGAAAAATTAGATTTAACTGAAAATGTTAATTATTACAAAAAAATAAACAAATATATTAGTTTAAAACCAACCCAAACCAAAACTAAGTGAATAATTAGGTATGATCAACGTCCAAAATTCGAAAGACCATTAAAAATTTAGATACCTTTTTAGATGACAATTTTTAAAATTATGCAGAACGGTTTGATTTACATAGTTGATGGAACAGCCCGATGAAACGTTTGACAAACCAATAATAATGCAGTTCGGGTGATCCCACCAATACTATAACTGTGTTGCAAAATTTACTTTGAACCTCAAAAAAGGTTAATTTCGTGTTATTACTTTAAAAATTTTTAAAAAGATATATAATTATTTTTAGATTTATAAAAATCAACTCTTTTTTTGTGCGATAAATCCTTTTAACGAATTATAACTTTCTGAAATTCATGAGTAATATGAGTAAGTAGCAAGAAATCTCTTTTGATCATCGTACAAATCGTCATTGTAACAAGCTAAATCCGGAAAACATATTCAGGGTCTTGTGTAGCAATGATCTAGTAAATAACATTGAAAGTAAAGTGATGTAATCTCGATTATATATTTCGGAGATTTGATAAACATCTTGATACTAATTATGGAAATTCTCGATAATTTCAAATTTTGAACCACCATATGGAATTTTAATTGTTTATAATAACAAATGTTGTACATAATTTTACGCGGGACATTGTTGTAAGAAAAAAAAAGTTCCTGAATTAGTAGTGATTTTTGGTCTACAAATTATTAACTTTATACATTTTTGTCGTAGTGTTACGAAAATTAATCACAATATAGTTTCTAATTATTATTATTTAATTGCATTTGCATTCAGATCTTAAACATTTTTCAAAGAGATCACATCGTAACATAATCTTAGGTTAAACAAAAACAAAAAAAATATGCTTGTGTTTTAACTTATTCCGTTCATCTCATGCCATTTAAACGCCTTTTTTAGTAGTTCACCTTTTTAAAACGGGCAAAAGTCGAAAAAATAATCCAATAAAATTTTTTTTTATTTTTATAAAAATTCCCATATTATTTATTATGAGTGATCAAATCTTTGATGATAATTCAACTTTTATTTCTACTGAAATGGGCATCAAACTTAGTAAATCCAAAATCAAGAAAAAATCTCAACAAGAACTCCCCCACAAAACTAGAGAAGAATTTCGCATTGAAGAAGGGAGAAGGTTTCATAATGTTGAAACCTTAAAATACTTCTTACCAAATGATGACGAGGAACTTGATCGCTTACATTTGCAACATTATATGTGGAGATATCTTTGGCAAAGCAATTTTAGCGCCCCTGTTGATGATTTGTTACAAATGGAGGAAACCAAAGTTCTTGATATAGGGTAATATATTTTGATAATATTTTTGTTAAGAATTAAGGTTGTCAAATTATTCCCTTTTTAAACTTATGCCATCATGCAGTTGCGGCGCTGGATCTTGGCTTTTTGAATTAGCCACGGAATTTCCTTTGCCAGTTTTCACTGGTACTGATATCTCACCTGTAATTCCGACGACAATAAAACCTCGTAATATTAATTTCATCAAGGGAAATATTTTGGATGGACTTCCATTCGAAGACAATTCGATTGATTTTGTACATCAACGTCTCTTACTTGGTGCGTATCCTCTTGATAAATGGCAAGGAGTAGTCAACGAGCTGGTGAGGGTGCTGAAGCCCGGTGGATACTTGGAGGTATTTAAGGATTATTTTAAAAAATTTAATTTTGCCGGAACCTCTTTTGAACGCAATATGTTTGTTTTAGCTTATGGAAGCTGACGCAGAATTGAAACCACTTGGTCCAAACGCTAAGCGTTTAAGCGATGCCTGTAATTGATCTTTAATTTTTTTTATAGCATTTTATAATTTATACGTTCCTATTAATTGAAATAAACCTTCTTTAGTGTTGGCATTGATGGCTGAGAAAGGACAGGACCCACATATCCTTCTAAAGTTACAATCATTTATGGAAGAAAATGGACAACTTGAAGAAATCGTTAAAGGGGAAAAATTCGGTCCTTATGGTAAAAGCTCTGGTCGACTTGGACAAATCGTAAGTGTAACTTTATAATCATTATCTGAACATTCCTGCGCCCGATTAATTTTTAATGAGAATGTATTTTCTATAAGGGTGTCGAGAATCATACGGCTTTTTTCACCAATATTAAACCTCCATTAATGAAGGCTATGAATATTCCTTCAGAAGAATATGATGAATTAGTTAAAGCGATGGCAAGAGAGCTGGTCGAATATGAAACTATGATTCATACAGTTCGTGTTTACGGTCGTAAAAAAATTATAAGTTAAATTTAACATATTCCTTTTTAGGGTAATTAATTATAATAATTTTAATATATGATAGACAAATTTGTATTTAATAACTTTTTTTTAAAAAAAAAGAAAAAAAAAAATTATGTAGACAATTTAATTTACAATATGTATTGCTTAGGGAAAAAAATATGGGTAAGAATTTATGCGATGCAGCTAAGCCAAGAAAATTATGATATGATATTTTTTTTAAAATTAACAAATAACTTGTCAGTATAAAAGTTGTGGGTTTCACCCCCACATTACACTCATTACACTACATTTATTATTTGATAGAAAATTTTTTTTTTAGAGATTAATGTAGACATTAAAAACTGAT